AGGGGGATAACAATAACTAATTATGTTATTATACAAGCATGGAGGAAACTAATAAAAATAATAGAAGAGTGTTTGATACTGAGAGAACGAAAAAGTTCGATTTTTGTAATTAAACATTAAACGTTCAAAACCCGAAAAATAAGTTCCAAGATCACATTGGCATCGCCCCAATTATTCGAAGTGATTCGATGCAGGACAGGAATAAGTTCGTTATCCAAACTTTTCATATAAATAGGGGGCAATTTTATACCGTTGCTTCCAGCACTGTAAGACACCTGAAATATATTTTGTAATTATTTTTAAACCTTTAGAATTATTCAAGACAACATACTAACCTTTTAATTTTGTTTATATTATATTATGTACAATACATCACTTAAAAAAAGATACAAAAAATAGAAAACAACACGTATCAAAAAAAGTTTTTTTGCTACAAAACTTACCTCCAATAATTTTATTTATTATTAGATAAGAGTATTATCTATGTAATTAATCACTTTTATGGTCACGTTCAACTCATTAAACATCAAAAAAATACAGACGTATTAGACCGCGATAAATTATTAAAAATATTATTTGGGCTTGGTGCAAATGCAAATACATTTCGGAAGAGAGACATCCCACAAAAAAGAGAGATAATAAAAAGGTAAGTTGTAAAGACTACTCACATTTTCCAGATGTAAATTAGTCCTTATGCCTATCTTGTAAAAGTTGTTGCTCGACAAAAGATCCAAATACTTGACCAGAGCTTGACAGGTGGCTTTCGCTATGCTATCAGATATCTTTGAATAATCGATATCTTGTCCTTTGCAATTTTCATCGCCACTCTACAATAAAATATAGATACACCATAACTACAACGAAAAAAAGTGGTCTGTGCATGTTATATTGAAAAAAAAAAAAAAAAAATCAAGCCAGTAAAGATGTACGGTATACACTAATTATGAAACCATACTGATGTTTCGCACTCATACGAGGCTTCTTCCAAGGAGGTTTGTTTATAGTATTGACTATTTTACCTGTACAAATTTTCTCATTTTATATTGTCCCTTCTACAAACTGCACTATCTGATTTGATTATTATTTAACTGATTGAAAAATCCACTGACCTGTAATATAAACACCTCGGTCCACCTGATCATCCTACTGCCACTGTTACAAATATTATCTTCCCCATTGTGAACCCTTATCGAAGGTACGCCACTCAGAGATTCGTTATCAATGGGGGAAAGTACCCTACAGAGTCGATAAAAAAAAAAACACGAATAAAAAGCAATATCTCAACACGTAATCGGTAGTTAGTTACCCCACATTGAAATTGACGTCATTTTCACCCCAAACTATCTTCACCGTTTCATCGTACGGAGCGTTAATTTGACCGCAATAAATAGTGTGTTTTTTCATGTTACGAAGGTCTGCTCTTATAATAATTATATATTTTATTCAATTATACTTATAGAGCTATTTTCTTAGTTATGATTGGTCGTGAAAAAAAGTTTTACAAGTAACAACACCAACGTTGATACATTTTATAAATATATCACGGGCTGTGCTTCCTTTAGAGATCTGCTCTTTGTCATTTGGGCTGCACATGTTTAACAAATGAAGCAACATAAAAATATTAAGTCACCTAATAATCCGAATATGAACAAAAGAATTTTGTATTTGCACTTTTGTTTTGTTTATTTGCTAATTTTCAGATGTATGTAACAAAAGAAACTATCCCCAGCGCAGCATTTTTAAGTCCAAAAATAAAAGTACTTTTATGTACTTTTATCCAATAAAAATTAAAACAGTGGTACAAATAAAAAAGAAAAAATATTACAAAAAGTGGATTAATTACAAAAAAAAGAGAAACAGTAGCATAATAAGTACATACTTTTTANATAAAAAGCAATATCTCAACACGTAATCGGTAGTTAGTTACCCCACATTGAAATTGACGTCATTTTCACCCCAAACTATCTTCACCGTTTCATCGTACGGAGCGTTAATTTGACCGCAATAAATAGTGTGTTTTTTCATGTTACGAAGGTCTGCTCTTAGTTTCTCCATTTTTTCTGGTGGTATTTGTATCATTACGCCGTCTTCTACTATGCTGGACTTTGCCGTCAGGCCTGTGGTCGATTTTAATATGCCATTAAACACTATGAAATTAACCCCGGTAACTGTAAAAAAAAAAAAATTAAAACAAGAGGAACAGAACAGCGGGTAACGCGTGTACCTTTTATAACGGGCCTGTTTTGTATGCTTATGGTATGTGTGGAATAATTGTTCTCGTTTTTGCCCTGCGTGTCCTGCACGCAGACCAAATGAGCATCAGCCTCTGGGCTAAAATTACCCCCGAAAGCCAGTATGTGCTCGCTTGAATTATTAATTGACTTCAGCACCTACAACAAACATGTTAAGTTACCCTTTTTGCACAGAAAAGAAAAGGGACCTGTACCTGATCGTATCTATTCGATGGTATCGTAACTGTTGTGGTTTTATCTTCCATATGGATAACAAGACCCCTTATATTCGGTAAAGTGTAGGAAAAATTACGAAAGTCCTGCAAAAAGGAATTAGTAAGGATAAATTTAGATAAAAAAGAAAATAATTACCGCTAACAGAGCAATTATCGTGTGCCCTAATTCGACAAAGACGCTTTCCCTATGCCTAAATGAAACCAAAGGGCTAGGGTAATACTTATATTCGGCTCCTAGCCTCAGGACCAGGCGTAATGGAAATATCTTGGCCCAAGGTATTTCCCACCTTTAAACATTATTTTTTTTATGTCTCTTTTATTATAGTTTTACGAATTATTTATTACCTGTGAATTAAAACACCCACAAGGTAAGGTTCCTTAGGAATTATTACGTTTTTAAGACACTGATGGGTGGGCCTAATGTATAAGAAACCTGCGTGATTTTTTGAACCCAAAAATAAAGTTTGATGCAACGACACGCCCAATTCAGATATGCTCGAACCTTAAAATGAAAATATTTTATGCTTTTAATAATACAAAAAAATTATCAATTACAAAAAAAAACACTTGCATACGGCAATAGTAACTGTCGTATCAATTGGAAAAAGTGATAAGGGACAGTACCTTTTTTTGCATCCATATAAATGCTATTTAGGTGCAAGAAAACTTCCTTGGGAAGAACTTTTTCATCTTCTAAATATTCTAAGAGGATAACGATTTCGTCTTGGCCTACACTAATTAGTCCCTCCGTAGAAAAACACCAGGCCATTTTATTAATACAACAACTCGCTATAAATAAAAAGCACAATAGCAATAGCACAAAAGCTGCTAGATATAAATCTCCAACTCACTGTCTATAAGTCGTACGTTTACGTAGAGATTTTTCTGTATGGCAAAGGTCAACGTCTCTTCTTTCACGATCTTCATCAGTGTTTCGTCGTTGGATTGTTCTTTATAAGAAATATCTGAAGAAGAGAACATTTAGATTATGAAAGTTTACAGACAAAAGTATATCGTAGCTAAAATACCCGATTTGAATGTTGATACAAGCGGAGGTAATTCGTTTTCTCCTACGGGAATAAAACTTTTCGTTACGTTATCGATTTCAGGGACGTTCCTGTTTGATTTCGGCGGGGGGCTCGCCAAAACCTTTTGGGACGCAGCTTTGCTATCCGAATAATTAAAATCGTTGTCCAGATTTGTCAGTTCACTGCCAGGTCTTATACCGTCGTAAAACATTACACTTTTGGTCTTCCGCGCTTTTCCAGATCCTTAAAAAAATTAACGCGTTAAAGATAAAAAAAAATTGTATGCTTCACTGACCTTTTCGTTTGAGTACACTGACTGGTACCATGACGGTGGGGGGATTCTGACTGGAGGAGCCGCTGACCTGCTGAAGGGGCGGCACCATCGAACAATACTCCATGGGATTGTTGGGATTCGGTTGGACGCCGTGATAAGTCGGGGAATTCCCAGCTGATGGTGAAACTTCGCTCCCGGAACTTCCGTCATTCTCTCGAGTCAGTATTTCGTAACACCTGTTGCAAACTCGAGCTTCCGCGTCCAAATATTCAAGTCGATACTGTAGATTACAACATTTGGAACAGAGAACCTATAAAAATAACAAAAGTAATTAAAACATTAAAACACTTAACTATTTTTATTTTACCAGGCCACAGGCTCTACAATGATGTCTCCTTTTGATTATGGTGAATTTCATATCACAGTGGAGACAATTGAGGGCTTCAGAATCGGGAATCCATAGGGGGGCTTTCTTTCCAAGCCAAGAATCTGTTTAAAATATTAAACGCATTATGGAGTAATAGGATAGAAAATCTAAAGACTTTTACATATAAGTATGTCACCAGGAACTTCCACTAACAACATTTTTCACATAAAAAATTAATAGTATACAACACACCGAAATTGCACAGAAATTAAGGGTTAAACGCTTGAAATTCCTTTATTTTTTTCTTTAATAAGTTAATTTAATACAAACATTATCAAACAAAATGTAAAAAGTTTATCATATTGTAGTTGTGACAGTGTCAAAGGTGGAATCAAAGAAGATAAATAAATAATTGAATAAAAATAACAATTAATATACGAAAGGTAACAACATCAACAAGCGATATTAATACATTATCAGTATTAATATGAAACAAGCCGTTAATATTTCAGCCCACAGACTAATTTGACAGAAAATGAAGTCATTAAAAACTGAATACAATAGTGTAAATAGCGACGCGCTTTTTCTTTGGAATGATAAGATAAGATTATAGTAATAGTAAAAAATACTCACCAGTGCCGTATCCTTGATAATTTTGTTGGGCACCTGGGTCTTCAGAAGCAGCTGCGAGGTCAATACCTGGTTCATTCGAGGCTTCATTATTAAGGACAGTATCTGTAGGCTCTCCAGAACTCCCAGCACCTCTTGTTTTATCTAAATTTAAATATTAGATGCCATGCTCATACCTAACGATTTTTTCCTTACCAACTGAGGTTGTTTCTTTATTAAAATTGTTATTATCATTCGTTTCTGCTGTCTGAACTTGGTTATTTTCAGAAGAATTTTTATTGGCAACGGGAGGGACGTCTGCTCTGGTGTTTAAATTTTGTTCTATGCTGTTGTTACAACTGTCCATGGTAGCAGTAGTGGCGCTCGAAACCGTGGACATGTCCGAGAACGTGGGTGACGGAGACGCTGACGAAGAATCGATGTCACTTTCAGTACCCGCGTCTTCGTTTGAATGGAACGATTTATATTCGAATGGGGTCGAACCTGGCTTTCCTAATTAAGAATATAAATAAAATTATTGAATTATTATTTTAATCCTTAATATTAAACCGTGTGCGATTTTATTTTATTTAAACGCACTTCTATACTAATCATTAAGCTTATTTGTCAATGGCCTTTTGATTATTAAGTATAAAATGTATGGAATTGAGACATAAAATCTATTCAGCGATTTCTCAAAGTAATAAATAATGCATGAAAAATGCTTGGGAACGTTGTTAGGTAAATAAATAGAAATGAAATATGCTTTTACCCATTGTGCTGATTTTTATAGGCTCTTCTTCCATGACAGATTTGACTTCTAATATGCTGGGTCTTCTAGGAGTTTCAACTGAGCTCTCTTCTTTAGCAGGTGTTTCTTCGTTATTTTCAGGACTTATTGTTGCTTTGTCACTTGTTATAATTTCAAGATTTTGAGGCTGCTGCAGATTGCTCTCTTCTCCACTATTTGTTTCATTTATATTCTGTTTTACAATTTCAGTTTTATTATCTTTTCCCAACTCTTTAACAACTTCATTGGTTCTGCATTTTTCAGAATCATCATTATTAAGAGGCAAAATACTTTCATTTTTACTTTCAGATAGTTCTTTGGAATTTGGAAGGCACTCTACAGTTGCCTTTGTGTCGTTTTTACTGCCCTCAACTGAAGTATTTGCATCAAAAAATTCTTCTTCATTCTTTTTGTGGTTGTCCTCATTGTCTATTATTACATCAACATTTTCTGGGGTACCTAACTCTTTAGTGCTGTCTTCTACTTCATCTTTAGGTTTTACTATTTCTAAAACAATAAAATATATAAGTATTTAAGGATCTCAAACAAAATTTTATTTACCATTTTTATTATCATTTTCTTCCTCTTTGTACTCATCTTCACTTGATTCATCACACTCATCTTCCAGCTCCTTTAAATACTCTTCAAGTTCATCCTCATCCACATCTACTGTATCAAAACCGATTTTCTGTCTGTTTTCAGTTCCTTCTTGCTCTTTTGGGTACGTAATTTGAAAGTTTAATTTTTCATCTTCATCCTCTTCTGATTCAGGTTCACTATGTACATCCTCCTTAACATCAACTAGGTCATCACTTATCTCTGCTAACAGATTATTTTCATTCTTTTCCTTGTCACTGTCTTCATTTTCTACAGTTGTACTATTTTCTAGAATTTTTAAATTTGATGAATTAGAGGAAGTTTCCTTTGTCTCAATTTCACCACTTTTTTCTGAGTTTTGTTCACCTTCATCTTTGCCTACCGTAATATCACTGACTTGGATGTTACTAACTTCGTTATTTACTTTTTGCATATTACCACTACTATTTACATTGAAGTTTTTGCTTGTATTGTCTACATCAGTCTTACAATTACTCAAATCATTATTAATGATGAACTCCTTCAGATCAGCTCTAGTTTTATTTTCAGTTACATTTTCTGAATTATTGATTATGCTGCTAGTTTTATTAACAGGTAGTTCTTCTGGATACTTGATATTTTCATTATAACTTTCATAGTTTTGTTGCTCATGTGATCTTATGTCTGTATTTAGGTATTCATTTAAACTTTGAAAGACATTGTTTATTGAATGTTTTGCACTTGACAGTTTGTAAGCAGAGGTGGAATCATTTCTGTGGGGTGTACTTCTAACACCTCCCAAGTCAGTAGAATTAGGTTCGTTACATTTCACTTTTGAAGAGTTATACTGGTCTGTTAGTTCACTGTATTCAAAATCATTTAGTACTTTGTCTAAGTCTACAGTATACTTATCCATCTGCAAAAAGGAATATAATTTTAATTACCATCTTGACAAACCTGATACTTAAAAGAAATTTAATTATGTATTCATAACAGTGATAAAATAAACACAAGTGTGAGCAACATTCTAATAATTAACAAAGAGCTATACTACAAAAATGTATCTTATGAATTATAACCTAATCTGGAAATATAAAAGAAATATTTATATTACGTACATATCGTATAATAGTATTATGGGAAATGCTAAACAATTTATATATACTNTTTTTAAAATTCAGAAGCATTCTTAAAAGTAGGACAACAACTATTTGAAAACATGAATAAAATATAGTGTAATACTCATATAATATACAGCTTAATAACATTAACAGCAGCTATCATTGTACTTGAGGTGAAATTGATAAACATTACTAATAAGTACTATTATGAAATTAATTAAGTTAGAAATTTATTATCTCGTGATAATAACACATAATATCAAATGATACATTATCAGTATCAATATACACCTGAGTAAATTGCTTTACAGGCTAAAGGCAGTTTAATTTTGCTAGAAAGTTAATAATGACATAAAGCTTTTGTTCTGACAAATAAAATTACTGCAGAAGGGCAAATTATTTTGCTTTTTCATCTTATATTATATTAAAGGAAAAGGTTACAAGACACCCTGTGTACATATATGTTTTTTCTTTACAGTAATTTTTCCAAAAAATCGGAAAATTCTGTTAAGGGAATATTAAAAGTACTTTTCTTTCACGACGGCTTTCGTCCGATTTTTTACGAAAATGGCCAATAATACAAGAGGCCTCCGCCCCCTGGTTCTCTGTGGGCCATCTGGCACGGGTAAGAGCACCCTGTTGAAAAAACTCCTAGAGGATTACCCCAACACTTTTGGGTTCAGTGTGAGTCACACGACCCGTCTGCCAAGACCAGGGGAAATCGATGGTAAACACTACCATTTTACTACTGCAGAAAAGATGAAACAGGATATCGAAGAGGGGAAATTCATTGAGAATGCCACCTTTGGGGGTAACATGTATGGCACGAGCAAGGACGCAGTTAAAACTGTCCTCGACCAGGGAAAAGTTTGCGTACTGGACATCGACGTGCAGGGGGTGAAACAAATCAAAAAGACGGATTTAAACCCTTTCTACGTGTTCATTAAACCTCCAAATTTGAACGTTTTGGAGGAGAGATTGAGGCAAAGAAAGACAGAAACCGAAGAAACTTTGAAGAGGAGACTGAGTGTGGCATCTCACGAAGTGCAGTATGGGGAAGAGCCTGGAAATTTTGACTTAGTAGTTCTTAATGATAATTTGGAACATGCTTATGACCAACTTAAGAAATTTGTCAAAAATCATGTTTTGAATGGTAAACAAGGAAAATAAAAGGCACAAGAAGGGAATTAAATGAAACATGGTGTTTGTTCCTTTTTCCAAAGTAAAATAAAAAAGAACAAAAGGTTTATGTTATGCTTGAAAATAATCCAAAATTCTGATGCAAATTAAATTATTCTGAAAATTGCATTATTGACAACAAAATTTGTTGAACAAAAATGAAAATGGCTCAATCATAGTTCGGCCAAGAAGAAAGGCATAAAAATGGTTTCCAATTTTTTTTTTTAACGAAAACAAACTATAATCTATTTTTGAATTTAAACCTTTTAAATTTTGTACTTAATATTAATTTAATTTAGCTTAATAAGAAAATAAGGGCTGTAGAATTTAGTATTAGTATTTTTCTTGTAACTGTGTGCATACTCTAAATGAATTTTAAAATAATTAGAAGTAGATAACTTAGAAATAGTACTTGATAATAATGTTATGCTACCTCGATGTTTTCACTACAAAAAAATTAGTTGGTAACTTCAAAGTAGATTTTAGGATTAAGCTAAAAGTTAAATATAGTCTACAGACTTCGTTTAAAGAAAAATATTAGGTAAAATAAATAGTGTTCATCATCGTTACGATTTTATGTACTAATAATATTCCTAAATGATACAAGGGAGGTTATATTGTCTTAAGTCTTTCAGGTCTACTATATATGAGATANGAATTTACTAAAAAAAAAAGTTTAATGATTGTAAAATTAAAAATTTTGAACTCGAAAACTTAATGTTTCTTCCAACATACAACGAATTATTGAATAAATAAACGGATAAAAATATTATTTGAAGTGTATTTCATCGATTAACTAGCAGAAGCAATGGAGAGGTGTACTTATAGACAATTTTGTCAGCTCTCAACGATAGAATATGCAAAAATGTAACCGCTTTCTCTCTTACACTTTAAAATCTTATCCGTAGCCTATTAACAACAATAACAAATAAAATAGTTGTTAAACACTCTCTGTTACGATATACTCCTATAATATAGATTTCATCGTTGATAACACCTCAATTAGCAATGTTTGAAATTTTAAATCTTTGGTTGCGAAACTGAGCTAAACATCAAAAGGAAATTAAGGGATCGTCATTGAGGTTTTATCAAGGCTAAAATCAATTCAGATCCTTCCTAGTACTTCATCTTCATAATCAGTACGAAACAACAAAAATAATTAATATTTATTTATATATTAATTATTTATTGATGTTATAATCAGTCACCATAATAGTACCAATTTATATGTATGTGGGAGAAATATCTACAATTTATACACGATATCTACAGAAGGGGGATAACAATAACTAATTATGTTATTATACAAGCATGGAGGAAACTAATAAAAATAATAGAAGAGTGTTTGATACTGAGAGAACGAAAAAGTTCGATTTTTGTAATTAAACATTAAACGTTCAAAACCCGAAAAATAAGTTCCAAGATCACATTGGCATCGCCCCAATTATTCGAAGTGATTCGATGCAGGACAGGAATAAGTTCGTTATCCAAACTTTTCATATAAATAGGGGGCAATTTTATACCGTTGCTTCCAGCACTGTAAGACACCTGAAATATATTTTGTAATTATTTTTAAACCTTTAGAATTATTCAAGACAACATACTAACCTTTTAATTTTGTTTATATTATATTATGTACAATACATCACTTAAAAAAAAATACAAAAAATAAAAAAACACACGGTATCAAAAAAGTGTAATACTCATATAATATACAGCTTAATAACATTAACAGCAGCTATCATTGTACTTGAGGTGAAATTGATAAACATTACTAATAAGTACTATTATGAAATTAATTAAGTTAGAAATTTATTATCTCGTGATAATAACACATAATATCAAATGATACATTATCAGTATCAATATACACCTGAGTAAATTGCTTTACAGGCTAAAGGCAGTTTAATTTTGCTAGAAAGTTAATAATGACATAAAGCTTTTGTTCTGACAAATAAAATTACTGCAGAAGGGCAAATTATTTTGCTTTTTCATCTTATATTATATTAAAGGAAAAGGTTACAAGACACCCTGTGTACATATATGTTTTTTCTTTACAGTAATTTTTCCAAAAAATCGGAAAATTCTGTTAAGGGAATATTAAAAGTACTTTTCTTTCACGACGGCTTTCGTCCGATTTTTTACGAAAATGGCCAATAATACAAGAGGCCTCCGCCCCCTGGTTCTCTGTGGGCCATCTGGCACGGGTAAGAGCACCCTGTTGAAAAAACTCCTAGAGGATTACCCCAACACTTTTGGGTTCAGTGTGAGTCACACGACCCGTCTGCCAAGACCAGGGGAAATCGATGGTAAACACTACCATTTTACTACTGCAGAAAAGATGAAACAGGATATCGAAGAGGGGAAATTCATTGAGAATGCCACCTTTGGGGGTAACATGTATGGCACGAGCAAGGACGCAGTTAAAACTGTCCTCGACCAGGGAAAAGTTTGCGTACTGGACATCGACGTGCAGGGGGTGAAACAAATCAAAAAGACGGATTTAAACCCTTTCTACGTGTTCATTAAACCTCCAAATTTGAACGTTTTGGAGGAGAGATTGAGGCAAAGAAAGACAGAAACCGAAGAAACTTTGAAGAGGAGACTGAGTGTGGCATCTCACGAAGTGCAGTATGGGGAAGAGCCTGGAAATTTTGACTTAGTAGTTCTTAATGATAATTTGGAACATGCTTATGACCAACTTAAGAAATTTGTCAAAAATCATGTTTTGAATGGTAAACAAGGAAAATAAAAGGCACAAGAAGGGAATTAAATGAAACATGGTGTTTGTTCCTTTTTCCAAAGTAAAATAAAAAAGAACAAAAGGTTTATGTTATGCTTGAAAATAATCCAAAATTCTGATGCAAATTAAATTATTCTGAAAATTGCATTATTGACAACAAAATTTGTTGNTGTGCTGATTTTTATAGGCTCTTCTTCCATGACAGATTTGACTTCTAATATGCTGGGTCTTCTAGGAGTTTCAACTGAGCTCTCTTCTTTAGCAGGTGTTTCTTCGTTATTTTCAGGACTTATTGTTGCTTTGTCACTTGTTATAATTTCAAGATTTTGAGGCTGCTGCAGATTGCTCTCTTCTCCACTATTTGTTTCATTTATATTCTGTTTTACAATTTCAGTTTTATTATCTTTTCCCAACTCTTTAACAACTTCATTGGTTCTGCATTTTTCAGAATCATCATTATTAAGAGGCAAAATACTTTCATTTTTACTTTCAGATAGTTCTTTGGAATTTGGAAGGCACTCTACAGTTGCCTTTGTGTCGTTTTTACTGCCCTCAACTGAAGTATTTGCATCAAAAAATTCTTCTTCATTCTTTTTGTGGTTGTCCTCATTGTCTATTATTACATCAACATTTTCTGGGGTACCTAACTCTTTAGTGCTGTCTTCTACTTCATCTTTAGGTTTTACTATTTCTAAAACAATAAAATATATAAGTATTTAAGGATCTCAAACAAAATTTTATTTACCATTTTTATTATCATTTTCTTCCTCTTTGTACTCATCTTCACTTGATTCATCACACTCATCTTCCAGCTCCTTTAAATACTCTTCAAGTTCATCCTCATCCACATCTACTGTATCAAAACCGATTTTCTGTCTGTTTTCAGTTCCTTCTTGCTCTTTTGGGTACGTAATTTGAAAGTTTAATTTTTCATCTTCATCCTCTTCTGATTCAGGTTCACTATGTACATCCTCCTTAACATCAACTAGGTCATCACTTATCTCTGCTAACAGATTATTTTCATTCTTTTCCTTGTCACTGTCTTCATTTTCTACAGTTGTACTATTTTCTAGAATTTTTAAATTTGATGAATTAGAGGAAGTTTCCTTTGTCTCAATTTCACCACTTTTTTCTGAGTTTTGTTCACCTTCATCTTTGCCTACCGTAATATCACTGACTTGGATGTTACTAACTTCGTTATTTACTTTTTGCATATTACCACTACTATTTACATTGAAGTTTTTGCTTGTATTGTCTACATCAGTCTTACAATTACTCAAATCATTATTAATGATGAACTCCTTCAGATCAGCTCTAGTTTTATTTTCAGTTACATTTTCTGAATTATTGATTATGCTGCTAGTTTTATTAACAGGTAGTTCTTCTGGATACTTGATATTTTCATTATAACTTTCATAGTTTTGTTGCTCATGTGATCTTATGTCTGTATTTAGGTATTCATTTAAACTTTGAAAGACATTGTTTATTGAATGTTTTGCACTTGACAGTTTGTAAGCAGAGGTGGAATCATTTCTGTGGGGTGTACTTCTAACACCTCCCAAGTCAGTAGAATTAGGTTCGTTACATTTCACTTTTGAAGAGTTATACTGGTCTGTTAGTTCACTGTATTCAAAATCATTTAGTACTTTGTCTAAGTCTACAGTATACTTATCCATCTGCAAAAAGGAATATAATTTTAATTACCATCTTGACAAACCTGATACTTAAAAGAAATTTAATTATGTATTCATAACAGTGATAAAATAAACACAAGTGTGAGCAACATTCTAATAATTAACAAAGAGCTATACTACAAAAATGTATCTTATGAATTATAACCTAATCTGGAAATATAAAAGAAATATTTATATTACGTACATATCGTATAATAGTATTATGGGAAATGCTAAACAATTTATATATACTTACATTATAAACAATAAACAAACTAACAAAGTTGGATAAACAATTTCATTAGGAAAATTAACATTAATATAATCATCATAACTATATTTTCCTCTTTTTGACGTTTGAACAAAGCAGGAGTAAAGCTTGGCTCACACTAAATTTACACTTATAAATAAGAATACGATTTTCAATTGTAAATAACTGGTTGTTTAATCAATGTGATAAAAAATACTTAACAAGCCTCTCAAAAATCCTAAAGAGAATAAATTATTAAATTGCATTAAATTAAATTAAAAAAATAAACAATCTAAAGACAATTGATATGCATAAGGGTGAACACAACTTTTTCATTTCAAATGGATTTCAAAATGTCAAACTTAAACTTCAAAAACTGTTTATTATCATGGCGTCCGAAAATGACAGATACCCCTTACATAAAGCAGTTTTTGAAAATAATTTAAAAAATTTGTCACGTCTCTTAAGAAAACACGATGTGGCAGAGAAAGACATACATGGTGAGTAAAAATAATTAATAACAGCGCTGTAGAATGTCCACTAATAAATATAGATCAATTTCGTAAAATGTGAGGTTATAACTTTTTTCTTTTTACTATTTCTATTTTACATTTTGTTACTTTATTAACTGTTTGTAAATAATTTAACATTTTTTTGTAGGAAATACCGCTTTACATTTAGCGGTAATGCTTGGAAGAAAAGGTAAGTTGAAGAAATAAAATTGTCAACTCACTGATAATGTAACTTATCTTTAGAATGTGTACAACTACTTTTAAAACATGATGCCCCTGTAAAAGTAAAGAATGGATTAGGCTGGACTGTTCTAGCAGAAGCTGTTAGCTATGGAAATCGACCAACAAGTAAGTATTTGAATTGAAAATGTTGTACAGATAGTAATTATTGATTTGCCCCCTTATAGTATCCTCCCTAGTAAGGAAGTTTAGGCAACAATCAAGGGAGCAGATGGAAGAACGACGACCAAACTTAGTAAAAGCTTTAAATAAAATAGGAGATTTTTACATGGAATTGAAGTGGGATTTTCAATCTTGGGGTGAGTGTTAATGAGAAGTTAGCATGAAATGTTCTGATTTGGGAAATCTCGTTAACGATTTTAGTTCCTTTGGTCTCTAGAATTTTACCCTCAGATATATGTAAAATATACAAAAGTGGTGCTAATATAAGGCTGGATACAACACTTGTAGACTTCTCTGACATGAGATGGGAAAGGGGAGACATTTCTTTCATATTTAATGGCACTGCTCCACCCAATGAAAGCCTTACAGTTTTAGATAATGTTTTAAAAATATACCAAATGGTTAAATATGAAGTAAGTGGAGTTCCAATCTATTTAGGAAAGTATTTTGCATCAAAAATATTTTTTAGGAGAGTGAAATAGAAATTGAAGATGAAGTAGACCTTTTAATGTCAACAGACATTTTATCTGCACAAATTTCGACGAAAAATATATCGTTTATACGGGCCCAGAGTGGTTGGATTTTTAGAGAAGACAAAAAAGTAATTAATAACGATTCTTTCAGAACACAGTTTCTATAATTTTTTTATTTTAGGAATTAGTTGCTGGACAATATGAGAGTGATTTGTATGTTGTACATGGACTTGTTCTAGAAAGTAAAAAACGAAGAGAACATCTTTCCCATGATGATTTGCAGAAGAATAAAGCCCTACTTGAAAGCTTCACAAAAGGCTCTAATATGCAAAACTTTGATCAAAATGGAATTGTAAGTTTAAAAAGTCAAATAAAAATTATAGACTTTTTGAAAATAATATACTAAATTGCAGCCAGTACGTAGGTTGAGTTTGAACCCCCCGCCAGACAAAAACGTCACATGGGAGCAGTACATTGAGTCAGAACTAAATAATTATCCACGTTTGGGTCGTGACCTGGTCTATAAAGAATCAACAAAGTCCTTTAAAGCCACTATAGCAATGGTAAGAAAATTAAAAGGTAAATTTATAATTAATTTTAGAGAGATTTTCCTTTTTTCTCCACAGAGTTCAGACTTTCCCTTATCAGTTGAAATGTTACTCAACGTTTTAGAAGTGATAGCGCCATTTAAACATTTTTCCAAACTTCGAGACTTTATCACGTTCAAATTGCCCACGGGGTTCCCCGTCAAAGTCGAAATTCCCATCTTGCCAACCGTTACGGCGAAAATCACATTTCAAGAGTTCGAATTTCGGGAGAATATGTCTGACGACCTCTTTAGAATACCTTTGGACTATACAGAAGACCCGTCAAGGTAAAAATTTTTAAATATTTTATTTATTTATAAATTAGAACGTAATAATTGTGCAACTAAATTATTGTTTTCTCTCTTTGGGTATGGAACCATTAAAATTATTTATTACCCTTTATAAATGTTTTAATTTTTGTTTTGGGCTTTTTTAAGGTTCCCGGACTTATGACGCCCTGAAATAGTAAACACATTTGCGGTAAGTAAGGCAGTCCGGCCGCTGTTTGTAACCAAAAATGAACGTCAACAACTGTCGCGCATAAAGTTCGTCAACAAACTGCGCAAGTGCAGGGAATCATGGAAATCAACTAACGAAAAGGACGAGGTGCCAATCGTTTCCATTGAAATTCCCATGCTGTTTACATTGGGAAGCATCTACTCCACGAACTGTACGGTCTACTTAGACTAAGAACGCGTTTTCGTATATTTTGTACTGTTATTATGGACGAAAAACACGGAAATTTACCCTATCAGATCGAACGGTCTGTTTTTAATATCTTTGTTCCCTGTAGAGATGGTTATTTTCCAGGTTAAGCCACGATAATAAACCCTTAATTAATCTTAAAGTCGGATAATTATTTCTGAAACTACTTAAAAGCATTAAACGGTCAACAGCAATATTTATTTAACTTTTTAATTTTAACCATAAACGTTATGTGTTGTGTACCGGTCGTTATTTTAATGTTAGATTTTATGGATAATTATTAATTAATTGAATTGATCAAAAGACTCTCAGAGCAATGTACTGATTATTTAAACAATCGGAAAAACTTACGTTAATTGACGTTCTTTTGAGCTACAGTAGTTTAATATTATCGGTAAATATTACCACCGTTTTCGAACTGATTGAAATAAAATTATGCAATCTACCATTGAGTAAGACATCGGTGGCTTAGTGGGTTGAATAAAGGTAAAAATGGTAAAATTGTGCCCCGGCACCAACCGTATAATGTGTAAAATCGACCTTGACGGTTATTTCAGTAGATGAAATGTCTGTGATTTATTTATAAATTGTAGTTTTTAACTGTTGAGAAAAAGGTTTATAATGTTCGATTAGAGGCATTTTGGGTAGACGACAGATTGAAAAAATCGATCATTGATTAAGTAAAAGAGATATCGAAGAAACTCTCGGCTCTCCTCATACCCAACTGCCTCTGATTTTTGAAGGTGCTTTTTTTTTTAATCTAATTTGAAGGACTTACCACAACGCTTAGTGTTTTTTCATTCTTAATCAGAGCAATTGTATTAGTATTAATATTTAAAGTTAGTATTCACGTTAAGTTGTAAAAGTCGCAAATAAAATAGTTTTTTTATCATTCGATTTCGGTTTGGTACAAGCGCTTTAATTTCGGAAATTCTGACAATAAGCCTGCTATTACTTTATGCAAAGACTAGGGTCCTAATCAATACTTGCTAATCAGTAGGGAATACAAATCACGAGCTATAATGACTGAAATAGTAACAAAAACATAAAAGAGAATCAATTCTGTTACTTAATTGTTGTTTTGGACGTTAAATTTTAATTAATTGTTAAATTTATAATTTTTTTATTAATCCCAAATGAAATGTTTATTAGTCGCAAAGAAAAAATCACAGTTTTGTCAGACCTTACCGAAGGAAATGTTTAGATAGTAAAAGAAATGCATCCATTGTCTAATTACCTGTTGTTATTTTGTAATTGGTTGCTGTACGAGTTCACGTGGCTGATGTTAATCCTTTAGTTGCTGCCTCATCTTTGCCATTAATTATTTCGAATGATAAATTAAGTGTGTAATTGAATTGCTGCGTATTTTCTTTCTGATTGCGAATTCCTACTAAATACTGAATGTTATTTCCTTCGATGTGTTGTAGTTTATGGACAGATTCGTCTAGTTAAAAAAAAAAATAAGCAAATTAATGTTTTATGTCCCGATAAGTAAAAGAATAATAGTCAATTTTATTATGAAATAATAAATTAAGTAATAATAAAATAATTATGAACTCGCCTTTTTCCCAAGTCAATATTTTAAACGCAATAATAAACGATATGCTTTTGCTTTGAAAAATAATAATTAAATTTGAAATAGGAAACTTGATTATACTAACAGAAGAAAATGGTACATTTCAATAACACTGCCAGTTTTTATAACAATTAAAAAAATTAGTAACAAATCACGTCTTGTCTAACAGGGTTTGAAATGTTTATCGATGTATTTATGTGATGTTAATGGCGTAAAAAAAAAATGTGTCGTTTCAAAAGGAATATATTTCAGCGAATATTAATAATTATATATGTACCTGTACATATTGTTATCAACAAATGTAAACCCCGTGCCTCCACAATGTAATGGTTTCTATTACCAAGCTATCATCTGATGTTCCTTCATTTTTTAAACTGTAATTTTTTATGGCCTAATTGATAGTAACAAGACGCCTATATACGAGTTGTACTATTAAAAACTTGTCTCTATATCGTTCCTGTTGATTATTTTTTTGTTATGTGATGGATGTGATGGAGGAGCTGCAGATGCGTGTGACATAACAGAATTATTTAAATTACGAAAAAAAATTATTTTATGCAGAGTACATATCACAAGAGTCCCCTAGACATTCCAAAACAAAAAAATAATATGTACGCAGATTGTATTATTTTGTAGTTTCAGTGGTGTTAGTTTTTAAGTGTGTTTTTGTATTGAATTCGTTACTTCTGAAAGAAATAGTAATAATAAAGGCTTTGTTACAATTTTATTCTTTTTTTTAAGTTACTTAACTGTAACTCGTGTTATGTTGGTTGCCTATCGTAACTTATTCGGATCATGAAGTCTATTAATTTTACTGTTTCTACAACGTTTAATTAATAAAATTGGGTTTCAACGTTAATTAAAAATACCCTTAGCTATCATATGCCCTAAACGCAAGTAGTAACTCATTGTTATATGGCTGGAATTAGAAAAAAAGTTTTAAGCTTTTTTTTTTTAATAAAACAAAAAAGGAAAGCAAATTCAAAAAATCGCTTCGTACATTTATAGATAATAAAAAGATCTTTGATTTGACATATCGATCACCTTTCCAGCTTATATACATCAAGAGTAATTCGTAAAATGGATTCGGGGCCTTAAGTTCAACTGAGAATATTTTTTAAAAGAAGGTAAGTGTAATATATGCTATTAAATAATTAAAATAATTGTGGCGAAATTAAGTAGTAATAAAGTATTTCTCCATTAATAAGAATTTGTTTTCTTAAAATAATTTTCTGGGGCTTTGTACCAAAAAAAGGTAAAAAAGGACTCCTCCTTGACGGAGTTAAAAATTTCGAAATCGTTATATGATGAACAAAATATCAGATACGAAACCTTTGACAAGCGAAATATTTTACCATAATTTTAATCGTCGATTAATTGTTAGCAGTTGTTTTTTAGTTTTTCTACCGTTTTCAAAAATATTTATACTGTAAACTGATATTGTGTTTCTAAGTTATCTAAAGTGTAAATTCATTCCTTGTAATCAGTTTAACGAAGAGTAATCAAAAACAAACTGTGGTAGTTTACAATTTAGAAATGATAACGCAGTCAAAGTTCATGATATTAAAGAAAAAATCTATTATTTGCCTGATCAAATAACCAAGGAAGTCATCTTGTTAAAAGATAGCTATTTATACATAATATGAATTAATTATTAAACATTATTGCGGCAATGACCATGGTGTCGGTGCACCACTATCAAAATTTCTAAATTTAACAGGTGCAGATACACATAGTATATATGTATGTACGGTATTATAAAAACTATCTAATGCAACAATTAAAACAGAAAAAAGAAACAAAACATGAAAAAAAGAGAAACAAACGTTGAAAAACAAGACACAAAAAATTGAAAAACAGTAAAAAAAAGTTGATAATCAAATAAAACAAAAATTGAAAACACATTTGAGCCATACTGTACATTACCAGAGTTGTAATATAAATATTTTAAACATTTGAATAACCCAAAATGTTTTAAATGCAAATTCACACTGTATATAACTTATGTGACAACTTGTATTAATAAAATCCAAATTATATACATCATAATAGAACTTTAATAAATTATAGGTAATGTAAAGTAAGTTATAGTTTTATTATGAACGGTAATATTTTATACGCTGCCTTCATTTGCGTAAGATAACAGCGAAAGGGTCTTACTTGGGTCAAAGAGAAATTAGTCAGCAACTTTATTTTTCAAACACTCATTACGAAATTATTAAATTAATATAATTATTTAAGATTATAATTCAGTTAACGTTTTAATCAAATTAAAGAACTGTACCAATAAGGCAAGGATCTTCAAAATACATAAAAATAGATTTATCTCCATTGGACACCATAAAAAATATTTCCTCGAAAACGGTTTAATGATAAGTTTATAAAAAAAAAATATTACGAGTATTTAGTATAGTATTATTTCTTCTTAAGAAATTAGCTTACGTTTGTTTGGAATGGTTAACTGTGGATACCATTGAAAAACCAATTCAAAGAATTGTCAGGGCAATTTTCTCATTAAGGCCCCTCAATGGCAAGCCGGATATGTCAATTGGGTTAAAAAACATAACACAGTGCAAGATATGCAAACGGTTTTCGTTTGTTTCAGATTTTGTTCGAAGACAAGCTGCATAAACCCCAAAAAAGAAGATGAAAAAAATATTGGGCAAAACAAAATATTTTGATGTTACAGAAATAATTAATTAGGTAGTTAAAATTACGTTTTACGGACAAACAAAACAAATTATCCGAACTTTGGTCGAAGAAATTTTCACAATCAGTAGCAATTGTTGACACTTTCTTTTTTGAGTTTTAAATGTTTACATTTGTTAAATAAACTAGATCCTGTTTTGTGTATATTTAACCAAAATTCGTATTTGCTGAGAGGGAAATAAGTAAATAACTATTGCAGGCAAATAATAAATAGTAATGTACTCTTGTATTTGTTCATAATAATTGTTCCCATTTTTATAAATAAAATCATTTTTTTTTATTGTTATATATTCATTACATTTTAATTCCTTTAATTNGATCAACCCTATACATACAAAACCATTGTATCTAAAGTTAAAAGGAAGAAAAATAAAAAAAAATAAAATACTGCAACGCATTAGCAGTCTACACTCTTTAATACAACATCTAAAGCAGAAGAAATTGTTAACTGATGAGTTAGCTTTAGTAATAGAGGTTTTAATTCATTTATACTTATTGCGTAAAAAAAATTAAGAAGAATAACCCAAAATTTCGGAAATTGGACCTTAAAGTGAGTTCTCACTATTGTAGTATAATTAATTCCTGGAATTGATTAGAACTTACTTATGTTCTTTGTATACATCTGTATGTGGTCAAAAATTAGGTTCAAATGAACAAAACAATGACCTAAGAAGGCTATTATGCAATTATTGGAAAATAATAAATAATGAAATAGAATAACAAACAAAACAAATTCCAATTCGATTAAAACAAGCGAGAAACGTGGTGGAGGCCTTCTAATATCTAAATGATGAGTGCATATTTTATGCGTGTATTTGATTATGATTATATTTCATGGACTGTTATTATTATAAAGGAATTTTCCTGTTTGCCCTACACATCGGTTAAATAAAAATTGTTGTACACACGATACAGTACTTAATTCATCACAATAAAAATTATTGTAATTGTTATCAATTATTACGGTTCATAAGGCGTTCCAAAGTGTCACTAACAACAATAAAATCAAAAGATAAGGCCAACAACATTGTTCTTATTCATTCTTTCTTTGTTGAAAACTTACTGTAATGTACTATAAGAGAGATAATCTCATTTAAATAAGATCCACCCTTTGTTCACCTATTGTATTATGACGAAATTAATACTGCAACAGTTTTTTTTAAAGTAATCAAAAAACAAAATGTAATATTTTTTATATGTGTGCCTATATAATAAGCGAGTTAAAAATATGAAAGTGTTTTTTGATCTTTGGTTCAAAAACAATAATGCATCATCAAGTGATAGGCAGCTGTTTACTTTTGTTTAATAAATATTTGCCGGACATATTCGTTTATTCGGAAGAATTAAAACAAATGAATAATTGGACGATATACACCAATTGTTGCCTCAAAATTATAATCGTAAACAGCAAACCAAAAAAGTTAAAGCAAGATCTGTAGTCGGGTAGATAGCCCCCTTCATTTGCTGTCGCGCAGTCGGGTAAATAACCGCCTTCTTGCTGTCGCACAGAAGGATATATATCCCCCTCTTTGATGCAGCGCAATAGGGTAAATGGCCCTGCTTTTGCTGTCGTGCAGTCAGATAGATAGACTTCTCTGCTCCCTTTGCTGTCTTGGAGCACAATAGATAACCCTCTCTTTGTTGTAACGCAATAAATAGGAAAAATGACCCTCTCTATGCTGTACAACAGTCGAGTAACAAGATAATGTTCTTAAAAAGAATGAAATACAATGTGAACCGTTTTTGAAACATGAAATGTTTTATCAGTTTTACTAACACAATAAACAAAAAATTAAAACTCTAGCCGGATATGATTTCAAGAAGTCGTGAGGACAGCCATTATTAAATTACATAAATGCTTACATGCGAAGAGATTAGAAATCGCTGAAAATGCAGATTTTGCTGGCAGAAGTAACCTTTTGTGCTCGAATGTATGTATCAAATGATAATTGTAGTAATAATAATGTGTTTTGTCCATCTCTTCATTATCAGACAGTAACGCTGACCAGAGGGGAATCTATNTGTCACACAGAAGGATATATATCCCTTTCTTAGCTGTAGCGCAATAGGGTAAATGACCCTGCCTTTGCTGTTGCGCAGTTGGGTAAATGGCCCTCTATTTTGCTGTCGCGCAGCCGAGTAAACAAACCGTCTTTTTACTGTCGCGCAGTAGGATATAAACAATTATCTCTTTGCTACAGCTCAATAGGGTAAATTGCCCTACTTTTGCTGTCGCACAGTCGAATAAATAACCGCTTTTTTGCTGTTACTTAATAGCATAAATAACTCTCCGTTTGCTGCAGCGCAATAGGGTAAATGGCCCTGTCTTTGCCGCAGAGCAACCGGGTAGATAGCCCCCTTTTTGCTGTCGCTCAGTCGAGTAAATTACCGTCTTTTTACTGTCGCGCAGCAGGATATAAATAATTATCTCTTTGCTGCAGTGCAATAGGGTAAATAGCCCAACTTTTTCTGTCGCATAATCAAATAAATAACCGACTCTTTGCTGTCACGCAATAGGATAAATATGCCTCTCTTTGATGCAGCGCAATAAGGTAAATGGCTCCCTTTTTGCTGCCGCGCAGTCAGGTAGATAGCCCCCTCTTTACTGTCGCGCAGTCGGGTAAATAGCCCTTTCATTTGTGGTCGCGCAGTCGAGTAAATAACCGTCTTCTTGCTGCCACGCACTAGCATATATTTCCCTCTCTTTGCTGTAGCGCAATATGGAAAATTTCCCTCGCTTTGCTGTTGCGCAGTCGGATAGATGACCCTTTTCTTTGCTGTTGCGCAGTCAAGTAAATAACCGCCTCTTTACTGTTGCACAGTAGAATAAATAACCCTCTCTTTGCTGCAGCGCGATAGGGTAGATGGCTCTCCCTTTGCTGTCGCGCCGTCCGGTAAAGAGCCCCCCCTCTTTGCTGTCGCGCAGTAGGATGAATATCCCTCTCTTTGATGCAGCGCAATAGGTTAAATGGCTTCCTTTTTGCTGCCGCGCAGCCAGGTAGATAGCCCCTCTTTACTGTCGCGCAGTCGGGTAGATAGCCCTTTTATTTGCGGTCGCGCAGTCGAGTAAATAACCGTCTCCTTGCTGCCACGCAGTAGCATATATTTCCCTTTCTTTGATGTAGCGCAATATGGAAAATTGCCCTCGCTTTGCTGTTGCGCAGTCGGGTAGATGACCCTTTTTTTGCTGTTGCGCAGTCGGGTAAATAACCGTCTCTTTACTGTTGCGCAGTAGAATAAATAACCCTCTCTTTGCTGCAGCGCGATAGGGTAGATGGCTCTCCCTTTGCTGTCGCGCAGTCCGGTAAAGAGCCCCCCCTCTTTGCTGTCACGCAGTAGGATGAATATCCGTGTCTTTGATGCAGCGCAATAGGGTAAATGGCTTCCTTTTTGCTGCCGCGCAGCCAGGTAGATAGCCCCTCTTTACTGTCGCGCAGTCGGGTAGATAGCCCTTTCATTTGTGGTCGCGCAGTCGAGTAAATAACCGTCCCCTTGCTGCAACGCAGTAGCATATATTTCCCTCTCATTGCTGTAACGCAATATGGAAAATTTCCCTCGCTTTGCTGTTGCGCAGTCGGATAGATGACCCTTTTTTTGTTGTTGCGCAGTCAAGTAAATAACCGCCTCTTTACTGTTGCACAGTAGAATAAATAACCCTCTCTTTGCTGCAGTGCGATAGGGTAGATGGCTCTCCCTTTGCTGTCGCGCAGTAGGATGAATAACGTTCTCTTTGCTGCAGAGCAATAGGGTAAATGGCCCTGCTTTTGCTGTCGCACAATCGAATAAATAATCGACTCTTTGCTGTCACGCAGTAGGATGAATATCCGTCTTTGAAGCAGCGCAATAGGGTAAATGACTTCCTTTTTGCTGTCGCGCAGCCAGGTAGATAGCCCCTCTTTACTGTCGCGCAGTCGGGTAGATAACCCTTTCATTTGCGGTCGCGCAGTCGAGTAAATAACCGTCTCCTTGCTGCCACGCAGTAGCATATATTTCCCTCGCTTTACTGTTGCATTGTAGAATAGATAACCCTCTCTTTGATGCAGCGCAATAGGGTAAATGGCTTCCTTTTTGCTGCCGCGCAGCCAGGTAGATAACCCCTCTTTACTGTCGCGCAGTATGATGAATAATGTTCTGTTTGCTGCAGCGCAATAGGGTAAATTGCCCTGTTTTTGCTGTTGCGCAGTCGGGTAGATAGACCTCTCTGCTCCCTTTGCTGTCGTGGAGCACAATAGATAACCCTCTCTTTGTTGTAACGCAATAAATAGGAAAAATGACCCTCTCTTTGCTGTACAACAGTCGAGTAACAAGATAATGTTCTTAAAAAGAATGAAATACAATGTGAACCGTTTTTGAAACATGAAATGTTTTATCAGTTTTACTAACACAATAAACAAAAAATTAAAACTCTAGCCGGATATGATTTCAAGAAGTCGTGAGGACAGCCATTATTAAATTACATAAATGCTTACATGCGAAGAGATTAGAAATCGCTGAAAATGCAGATTTTGCTGGCAGAAGTAACCTTTTGTGCTCGAATGTATGTATCAAATGATAATTGTAGTAATAATAATGTGTTTTGTCCATCTCTTCATTATCAGACAGTAACGCTGACCAGAGGGGAATCTATAAAAACGGGTTGGGGGGTAAGCACAGTTTAGTCTTAGTGCGCTATGGCTAGGCTCGGGCGGGATCTTGTTACCCCTGCGCTCGCGCTTTTATTAGTATTACTCACCTCTGACCTCGCTTACTCTCAAGGTAGGTGATTTTCATNACCAGAGGGGAATCTATAAAAACGGGTTGGGGGGTAAGCACAGTTTAGTCTTAGTGCGCTATGGCTAGGCTCGGGCGGGATCTTGTTACCCCTGCGCTCGCGCTTTTATTAGTATTACTCACCTCTGACCTCGCTTACTCTCAAGGTAGGTGATTTTCATTTTTTTTTTCTATTTTTTTTTTTGAAACAAAATGAGAACAAGCGCACTTGATTTTCATGAAAAACAAAATAATAGCAGATCTGAGAAAAACGTACAAACTTTTAAGTTGTTTATGACAAAAATCCCTTTTTACCTTTTATTAAAAAGATAATAAAGTTTAAAGAAGATGATAGAAATAAAAAATTATTCCCCTAAGGAGAAACTTGAAAAAAATTACGATTTGCTTAATTTTTAAAACACATCCCTATCCCAAAAATTAGAAATTTTAACAAAACATTTAAAGGGTTAGATAGAACGAGAATTAAAGCGATCGTATCCATTTTATAATGATTGCAATTAAAAATCATGTCTCAAAATATAATGTTTTCGATCGATCGTACGAGCTATAATGACTGAAATAGTAACAAAAACATNGAGGTACGCGAAACTTCAGAGGAGCAGACGCGACGTGCCTAAAGCTGAGGTGGACAAAATCGAAAAGGACATCAGAATTAAGACCAACGAACTGAACACTGACGTTGACGTGGACTACAGCATCAAACTGTTTGGATCAGAATTACTATTCGTCAACGTGTATGAAAACGTTGATAAATTCAAACCTGAAGTTCTTATCGAAAAATTCTTCGACCATTTAGAACTTGGCATTGACAAGACGAAAAACTTCCAGGTACATTTAAAACTCTTAAGCATTTTACCACCACTTAATTGCCTTTCATTAACTTTCTTAGGAGTCCATCCAATCCAACGTCCTCTTCTTGGACACCGAACTCAGTTATCCGACATCTCTTGGTTTCCCCTTACGTTTGGCTGTTGACGGTGCTTTTTCGGTCTTGTTCAAAGTTGAAGGAAACATCGATCTCCAATCCCTCATCAGCAGCACTGCCGACAAACACTTGAAACTCAAACTCACGATGATTTAGAAGCCCATTTTTACAAAAATTATCGATATATTTATAACATGTACCTACTCGTATAATTCTTTTAATTACGAATTCTAGAACATAAAATTGTTTAAATTTTGTTAGTTCTTCTTTAAACAAAATCGCAAGTAGTAGATAGATATTAACTAAAATCCAAATTTTCAAAAATTTTGAAGCAGAATGTCCATCTCAAAATAATTTAGTTATCAAATGCAGAAATAAACAAAAGTGTTTTTAAGAAGCATAATCTAACACTAATCCTTAAGAAAGGTGCAGCAAGTTGGTGAACTCTGGCAGCACAATAATTGATTAGATAAAGAGAAATTTTTAAAAAGATCTGCAACATCCGCAATCAATTTGAAGGTCAAGAATATACATAGATACATATAATATAAGGTCAAAATATCAAACATTAAATATTATTATGGATTTCTATCTGTCTATCTAACCGAATCGAAATATATCAATAATAATAAAACAAGAATAAATAAATATCACAAAAAATATGTTCTTTTTTTTCAGATAAATGTCGATCTGGATGCCAGGGAGGTAAGAATTAGTCTAAGTCGTTATAGAATTCAAAAAATGTTCTTAATCTTTTACGATCAATAGGAATTAATCGATCATTAAATTTTAGCATCGAAAACGTTCAAATATGCCGACGGTACAACGTACAAATACAATCTAGAAGGTAATATAGACATATCACTCTCCAGCGCGGAGGGTCAACAAACTACTACGAAACTTAAAGCTACAGTACTTTTGACCCAACTTCCGGAATGCAATCAACTCCTTCGACTAAAAGACGTCCAAGTTATTGGACCCGAAGCAAAGGTAATTTCTGGACCGCCAACATTTTTCATTCTATTCCTTTCTGAAATTTTACGTTCTAGAAATATTCTCATTTGGTCGGAATTGAGAAGCCCATTCGTCTCAATTTTCACGACGGCCATGTCGAGGATGTCGTCTGTGCAGAACCAGACGACAACCAAAACTCCCTTAACATCAAGAGAGCGGTCGCATCACTATTCCAAGTAAGCAATTCAATTATCAATCGGTTCTTGGAGAGATAAGTTCCAAAAACACTTTCTTCTCAACAGGCCTCACCGAAACATTCGTACGAAACCGATGTGTTTGGAGTTTGTCCAACTGATGTGAACAGTCGAGATGATGGAGGCGTGGTAGTGATCCAAAAGAGCAAAAACCTGAACAAATGTGGACAACGTGAAAGTCTCAGCAACGAATTCCTTAGCACCACCTTCAACCTCAACAGCGAAATCAAGTCAAGTCCCCTTTTGGACGGCGATTACACGTCAGAACAGCACATAAAGAATGGAATTTTGGAGAAGGTTTTGGTGACAGAGAACTACCTCTACTTGCCCTTTTCAATTGGTAAAAATGGGGCCCAGGCAAGCATAACAACAAAACTCCAGTTGGTAGGCCAAAGCAAAGAAAATCCGGGGAGCAAAGTGAGCGAACCCAAATCCATCATCTTCGAGAATCCTCACCCAGTTAGTACCGAAAAGGTCAACTTGGACTCGATCTTGAACGCATTGAAAGATGCCACAAACACAATCGGTCAAACTGTGAAAGAAAACTCTGCCAACGAGTACATCAATCTGGTAAAAACTTTGAGAGTTTCGAGCAAGAACGACATCCTCGCGGTTTATCGTCAAGTAAAAGCTGGTGCAGGATTCCAGGACAAAGTGGGTGCAAAGAGAGTGTTCTTGGACGCCCTCTTCAGAGCCGGAACAGGCGAAACTATCGAAGTTGCCATCGAACTTTTGAAAAACAAAGAACTAACTCCGTTAGAACAGAAAATCCTGTACATCCGTTTGGCCTTTGTTAAACACGCGACCCCGGGATCGCTCAATGCGGCTGCAGTAAGTATTTTGTGTTTCCACTTCATGTGATCGTATGCCAAATTGTACTTAATAAACCTTGCAGGCTCTGCTGGACCAAGCGCAACTTCCACGGGAAGCATACTTAAGCATAGGTTCCATTGCTGGCATCTACTGTCGCCAACATTCATGTTCAAAAATTGACGCCATCAACAAGTTGTCGCAAAAACTTTTGGCGAAAGTCAAAGGTGGAAAACCCCAAAACCGTGACGAAGAAAAAGAACAATTGTACGCCCTGAAAGCATTAGGAAACATCGGTACCCTTATCGATTCCGTTTCCGCAAGATTAATCGCAATCGCCCAGGACAAAAAAGAACCCAACAGAGTACGCGTGGCAGCCCTCGAAACCCTTCTGACCGACGCTTGTAAGGACAAAATCAGAGATGCGGCCGTTTCAATTCTAAAGGACATCCAACAGGATTCTGAGATCCGCATCAAGGCTTACTTGGTATTGGCTCAATGTCCAAACGGCAAAGTGGCCACCGCTCTAAAAGCATTGCTGGATACCGAACCCAGCTATCAAGGTAGGCAGAAAGTTGAACCCATTGTAGATTGTGTTGTACTAATGGTTCTATTTCAGTTGGAGGTTTCATCACATCTCATCTTCGTAATCTAAAAGCAACCACAAACCCAGATAAGGAACTTGCCAAACAACAACTTAGCAACATCGTCCCTCCGAATAGGTTCCCATTCGACATCAGAAAATACTCTTTCAATTCTGAATTCTCTTACGCTATAGACACATTGGGCCTTGCTAATTCGATAGAATCGAACGTAATTTACTCACAAAGTTCCTTCTTGCCAAGGTCTTTGGACTTGAATTTGACCGCAGATCTTTTCGGACACACTTTCAATTTCCTAGAAGTGTCCACGAGACAAGAGAATTTGGACAAAGTTTTGGAACACTACTATGGACCTTCTGGAGTCTTCAGAACCACCGAACCCGAAGAACTTTTCGCGAAAGGCAAGGATACTGCTAAAAACCTGTACGACACCTTCAACGAGAGGTACGCGAAACTTCAGAGGAGCAGACGCGACGTGCCTAAAGCTGAGGTGGACAAAATCGAAAAGGACATCAGAATTAAGACCAACGAACTGAACACTGACGTTGACGTGGACTACAGCATCAAACTGTTTGGATCAGAATTACTATTCGTCAACGTGTATGAAAACGTTGATAAATTCAAACCTGAAGTTCTTATCGAAAAATTCTTCGACCATTTAGAACTTGGCATTGACAAGACGAAAAACTTCCAGGTACATTTAAAACTCTTAAGCATTTTACCACCACTTAATTGCCTTTCATTAACTTTCTTAGGAGTCCATCCAATCCAACGTCCTCTTCTTGGACACCGAACTCAGTTATCCGACATCTCTTGGTTTCCCCTTACGTCTGGCTGTTGACGGTGCTTTTTCGGTCTTGTTCAAAGTTGAAGGAAACATCGATCTCCAATCCCTCATCAGCAGCACTGCCGACAAACACTTGAAACTCAAACTCATCCCCAGCGCGAACATCGAAGTTGCTGGAAGTCTATCTATCGACACCCAAGTTGTCGAAAGTGGGCTAAAAGTGAAATCTTCCTTGTACACTGCCACAGGAACCGACCTGTCAATCGAACTTAGTAAACTCAAAGGTAATACAAATACCACAGTCGAGTTCCCCAGAATCTCATTTAATGCAACATTCCCGTTCCCCTTTCAGGTATCGACGTTAAGTTTTCATTGCCAGTAAAAGAACAAAAGATCGTTTCTGCCAACCACCAGATCCTCTTCAAGTCCCGCGAACTGGGAAAGAAGGAGGTTACCAAACCCCTCAAGTTCACTCATAACAAGGACTTCTCCATCTGCTTCGATAATGTTTCACCCTACATAGGACTAACATTCTGCGCCGATATCGACAGCCCATCCCAGACGGGAAAACAGGCTCCTCTCCTACCTTTCCCATTCAGTGGAAACGCGAAATTTAGCGTAGGAATAGAACGGGAAGATTTGTCTGAATACCATTTAAGGAGCACACCATACGCGGGTGAATCGAACAAGAACGGATTGGACTTTGTCTTCGAAGTCCTTGGCGAAAAGAGGGATCGCAAGTTGAGCGTTGAAGCGGAGGCTTTCCTCTATCCGGAAGCTTACGTTCGAGGCGCCATCACAGCACCACAGAAAACCCTCTCAGCAGAAGCCCGAATTATAAATAGCAACAATGAGAAGTCGATTTTGGGAAAATTACGTCACGACAATGAAGAATTCTACGCAAAAGCTGGAGTTGCTGTCAGCGGCTCTCCTCAAAGACAAGTGTACAAGCCTCTTCTGGACTACAAATTACCCGGAGGTCAACAGGCACAACAAGGAACCGTAGAAGGAACTGTGGTGGTAGAACAAGGAGGTAGCAACGTCAAATACATCTTCAACGACGTCAAACTTCTTCTCCCCAATCAAAAGAACGTCCTCCTCAAAGGAAGCGTGGCACGCGAAAATTCGAAATATATTTCCGACATAACAGTATCTGACGGAGAAAAAGACGCTTCCCTTAAGGCCAAAGTACAGCTAGTTCCACAATTTACACTGGACGCAGAATTCAAGAACAGCGTTAACCCGCAAGCGAACGTAAATCTCAAGGCGGCATTCAAGAAGACCCCAACGGAAGTAGAGACCTCCCTGGAGCTCGTCCACGGTCACGACCTCAACTCGAAAACCAACAAGCTCGTCATCTCCAGCAATTCCGAGTACAAATTCAAAGACTACCAAGATTACAAGTTCAAATCCGAAGGTAAATTCTCCTATCCACTGATTGGAACAGAGGCCACTGGCGAAATCGAAACGTCTCCCAAAAAGCTCAAGTACGACGTCGACCTGAAGTACAATAAAGTGAATATTGGATCCGAGCTGGAACTCGAAGTTTCGCGTAAAGAAGTGGGCGATTACGATTTAGAATTCGAAATCTACGGGATGGGAAACAAACTCGAAATCAAATCGCAACACGACATCAACGGTGACGATTCAAAAATTGAAAACGAAGTTGAATTGAACGGCAAAAAGGCCGAACTCAAAGGAACCATTAAGCATCACTTCAAACCGGACGATATCGACATTGGAGCCAATTTGGTACTGAAAGTACCCAATCTCAAAGAAGCAGTGAAATTCAACGGTGGCTTAGTTTTGAACCCGGACAAGGCCGATGCTGTTCTCAAAGTTTCGGCAGGTGGCAACATCAACGCCGATGTACTCCTAAAGGCAACCAAGGATGGAAACGCCAATGGGAATCTCAAGGTACGAAATCTAGTTCCTAAATAAAACGTTTGTCTATGTTTACAATTATTTTTCGGGCAGGTATTCGTTAAAGATTTCATCGAGGCCAACGGTCAACTGAAGGCTAGCAAGGGATCGGGAACAGCTAACGTGGTAGTCGACATTCAAAAGCTCAACAAGAAACTAAAAGCTGATTCGACCTTCAAAATATCCGACCCTATTTACAACGTCGTTGTACACCTTTACCCCGACGTAAACAAGGACCCCCAGAACAAGATCACATTCTCCACCGAAAGCAAACTAACTCCAACTTTAATTGATACAAAGTACGTTTTTCAAACACTTATCTACAAATTTGTGCATACGCTACTATTTGCCTTTGTTACAGGAACTACGTTGAAGCCGCAGGCAAAAGACTTGAAGGCAATGTGAAAGCTGCAAGAGAACAAAGTCCAGGACACGAAACAGGCGAACTTCAGGTCGAAATCACCTTACCAACCGACCATTACTACTTGCTGAAGATCAACAGAAACATCAAAACCGTAAATGACATCATCAACGGACAAGGTGTTCTGGTGTTGGAATCGCGTGAAAACAAAAACGCACCAGGACTTAAAATCACCAGCAAAGGCGTGCTGAAAGACAGTAATCCTAAGAAGCACATCATCGATTACACCAACAACATAGTTATTGATCTGCCGCAAGGAAAATCAGTTAACGCTGACGTTGCCGTTAAACATTCAGGCCATGAGGAGAAAAAAGTCAGCGAAGCTAGCGTAAGTCGAAGCCCCAATCCCCTTTAAATTATTATTATTATTATGTCTTCTTTAGTTAAAGGTTTCCGGTTCCGCTTTGCCGCATCCTGTTGAATTGAGTACCAGTGCGCAGTATAAGGAACGAGTAGGAAATTACAAGATCGTCGGAAAATGCGGTAGTCAATCGTCGATTTCAGTCTCAGGTATGGAAAGCGAAATTGTTGGAGGTATTTTGTTATTAACCATTCCGATATGTTCTATCAGGAAATTACGATCTGTATGGTCAAGGCAAACCAGTTAGTGGAGATATCAATGTCGAAGTAATAACTCCGAACGCCATAATAAGAAACGTCAGATTGAGCAGTTCTGGACTCGCCAAAAAACCAGAAACTCCTGAAGATCATTTGGAACTTAAAGGGAAATTTGCCCTCTTCATAGACGACGATGGCGTATGTGTTTTATAAGATAGTGGTATCAGAAACTTTTTTTTACGTACGTGTTTCTTTCTAGAGCAAACCCGATGCCACACTAGATGTCAAAACAGAAGGTGAACTCCAATTCGGCAGAAGAGATGGCAAACTTCAAGTAAGTTAAAGTTACACATCATCATCATCATCATAAGGTCGTCAGTCCTAAAACTCTTTCCTATCCTGAGCTAATTTTTGCATTTCCCTAAAACTAGAACAACCCATATCCTCAACTATCTGTGAAGAATAATCAAATCTAGGTCTACCTCTACCCCTCCTAACTTTCGTTTCTGCCTCTAATATGTCTCTGACTACACCTTCATGCCTGAGAAGGTGTCCTACCAACCTATCTCGCCTATTTCTTATTGACTTCCATACAGTCTTCTGTTCTCCTATTCTTTCTAATACCTCTTCATTTCTAACTTATCCTCATCATTCGCCTGTAACACCACATTTCGAACGCTTTTTTTTCCGCCGCGCCCACTGTCCATGTTTCGCACCCGTACAACGCCGTGTTCCAAACAAATCACTCTTCTATCTTTGTAACTCAACCCTACATTTTTAACATCTTGTCCCATTTAACATTGTCAAAAGCTTTTTCTAAATCTACAAGTCCCTCTTTCTTTTTTCTATAGTTTTCTAATAATATACGAGAAAATCTTCACTATTGTATCCTATTTTAGGGTACCCTCAACTTCCAAAAGGAACCTCCAATTTCGGTTGCTTTTGGATACGGAATTTCTGATGAACAAGAGCTGAAAAAATTGAACGCAAACTTGGAACTGAAAACCGGAAAAGGTCGTGATGTCAAGACCGACATAACCATTTCCAAAGAAAAAGAAAACGAATATGTTCTCGACTTACTCCTTGACGCACCGGAAGCCAGAGGAAGTAAATTCCATTTTTACAACAAAAAATCGTCGGACGGCAAAGTTCATAAAAACGGCGGAACCGTAGAAGTAAATGGTAAGAAATACGTCATAGCCAACGAATTGGTCCTGTCGGACATCACGCCAGTTTTGGACTTGTCGCTCCAATTTCCTGACGGCAAAAAGGACGAAATCGTCCTGAAGATCAACACTATATCATCGAACAAGGGAAGTGGACAAATCAAGGTAAATATACGAGAAAATCCAATTTTGAAGTGTATTAAAGAAATATGTTTTGTTAGATCGCAATCCCCCGCAAAGATTTCTTGCTAGAAGGAGACGTAGACGCTTACGTCGAAAGTCCAGACAATTTCAACATCAAGGGAAACATCAACTCGCCAACTTTGAAAATCAACAAATATGCCTTCGAGGCTCAAACGAAAGCTGCAAAAGGCGGAAATCGCATACTTGTGTCACTTTCTTCAGACGGTCAAAATATTTTAAGTGGAAGGTAATAAACAGATATCTAATCTAGGCCTACCTCTGCTCCTCCTAACTCCCGTTTCTGACTAGACCTTCATGCTTGAGAACGTGTCCTACCAACCCATCTAGCCTATTCCTTAATGACTTCCATAGAGTCCTCTGTTCTCCTATTCTTTCTAATACCTCTTCATTTCTAACCTATCCTCATCATTCGCCTGGAACACCACATTTCGAACGCTTCTAACCTTTTATTTTCCGCAAAGCCCACCGTCCATGTTTCGCACCCGTACAGCGCCGCCCTCCCTTAACCCTGCGCTTTCCTATGCTTTGTATCCCTGCTACATTAAACATGCAAAGAATTTATTGTTCAATCATTTTCTTCTTCTGACATTAGCACCAGTTACAAACATCGTGTTGAAGGAGACAAAACAATCGTCGAAGGGGCCGGATCGTTCAAACTTAAGGAAGAAAACAAGGCAGCTAACTTCAAGTTTATCAGGCAAAGTTTGGACGCCGCGAAATACGGCGAACAAGGAATCCAAGTTTCCTTCAACGGAGGTCTTGGACCCAAGGCAATCGACGCCGAACTCAAATTGACAAACAAACAATTCAAAGTGCTCAACTCGTACTGCGAAGAGAAGAAACAATGCTCTCACATTGAACTTGATTCTAAGATCACACAAAATGGTAAAACATCATTCATCTTTTCCCTTTCCTGTTTCAATACTAATTCATGTTGTTCCTCAGATGTTTCGATATTCAATCACGAAATCGAGATCGCAATCGATCTGCGTAATTTGGGCTTCCCCCACGAATTCGGACTGAAAGGTGTCACAACTCGTAAAGACCTTGTGTTCGTCCACACCGTCGACATCCATTTGCAAAACAAGAACAACAAGTACCAGTACAGCGTTTACGTTCAACCAACCGAAGCTGGTGTTACCCTAACAACACCGAAACGTGTTGTTTCGGCCGAAGCCAAACTGCAAAAGTGAGAATTTGAATATCAACCCCCAACGTTAATTTTCCCCGTTTTCTTAATTTATTTTTTTTTTATTCAGGGAAAAGGGTAAACTCGTACCAATCAAAGGAGATATCAGCTTGTACTTTGACAAGAAAAACCAACCGAATCAGAAAACATCGCTAAGCGGAATTTTGAACTACGACCATAGTAAAGACAGCGGTAATGTACATGCCGAAGTGAAATTCACGAACCCATCCCTTGCCAAAGACCTTCAGGTCCTTTACAACGCCAAATACGACATACCCTCGAAAACTGCAACGCTGGAATTCGTAATTGATGTCTTTTCGAAAGCCAACCAGAAAATTGTTGTTACTGGTAAAGCAGTTAAAAGAAGAATTGGAAACTATGGTTTCTCCGTGAGCAACGTGTTCGAAGCGAAGAGTCAGGTAAAAGGTGCCATACTCAGTAAAGTACCAAATAAATAATATTTCTGTTTCAGGGACTGAAAATAGACATCAAGTCTGAAGAAAACGTGCTAATAGACTTCGTAGAAAAGAAAACGTTCCAATACGACTTCAAAATCATTTATAACCTGGACAAGGCGAAATACATTTCTGCGTTGCAAGCTGAAGCGGATCAAAAACACGCCCTACTTTTGTTGAGTACTTTGAACAAGGAATTGTTGAAAGTCGATTCCCGATTCCAATTAAACAAAAATGTCCAAATTGTCGACACCACCACGCAAATATTAGGAGTAAAACCTATTGTCAGTCACCTGGAAGTCAAAAATTTCAACACTGTCAAATTCTACACGTCTCGCAAAGACAATCCCAACGAGAAGATAGAACTGAATGCTGGATTCATACCAAGCCAAATATCTGACTTCCGTTTAGAAGTCATCAAGAACGGCCAACGGAAAGACTTGCTCCACGCCAGCGTGAAGCTTGACGAAGCCAACTTCCTAAAATCTGATTATGGAGTGAGTGCCGAAAACATCAAACAACTTGTATTGGTTCCCATCAAAAACGACATCGAGACATTCTTGAAAGAATCGAAAGCCACCTTGGATTCCGCAACTAAGGAGTTCTCCGATCAAGTGAATCACATCAACAGTATCGCAAAGAAGAGTCTTCCTAATTTCAAACCTTTCCTCGAATACCACAAGAAGGAATTGGAGAAACTGAGAGAGGAATTCGTTTCCGACAAGACTCTTAAGGAACTTGAAGAATTCTTGTAAGATTTGTGTGATACATATCGTAACAATCTTCTATTTTCGTTTCTATTTAGCAAGAGCACCTTTGGAGCAGTTGTGAAGACATTTAACGAGATTTTAGCCCAAGTGAGCGACGTCACGGAGAAGGTTGTTGCCAACTTGCAGACCCAGTTTGCCCAAATAACGGAGTCGATCAACAAAGATTTGTTGCCCAAAGTTAGAGACATCGCCAAAAACATTCTGGACGCTTCCTACACGATCTTAGAACAATTCACCAACTTGTTCTTCACGTACCTTGCGAAGATCAGTCAAATTATTGACGCCCACCAGGACGAATTGAAACATATCGCCACCTACATCTCTTCGATCAGCCAAGGTGAGAATTTTAATAACGAATTTTAAAATCTTGTGGATGGCCCATTAAGAAATCGAAAAATCTTCTTCTTTAGATGTCGTCCGCTTTTTGGCCAAGGTGTTCGAACAGACCCGCGACGTAGTGGTTAAAGAATCTCAACAGATTTACAACGAAATCAAGAACTTGCCCATCGCCGAGGAATTGAAGAACAGGTACAATGAGGTAAGCGCTCGATCAACAATAAAATAATTATCGGGTTGTTCGGAAAGTCATTTCGTTTTTTCTCGACAGAGGATTTAATTGTATTCTTTTGCACCCAACTTCACATTTAAGCCGTATAATTTTTATATGCTTTGAGAGCTCATATAGCAAGGATTGTGTGTGAAAAATTCCAATTAATTCTACGCAGTAGTTTTTGGTTGGTGCCCTTTTAAATATGGAGAGCGATAAGCAGCATTTTCGACATATCTTACTGTTTTACTACAGAAAGGGTAAAAATGCTGTTCAAGCCAGAAAGAAATTGACTGATGTGTATGGAGAAGGTGTGTTGACAGTACGCCAGTGCCAGAACTGGTTCGCTAAATTTCGATCCGGCAATTTTGATGTCGAAGATGCACCACGTTCGGGAAGGCCGGTTGAAGCTGATAAAGACGCGATAAAGGCATTAGTTGATGTGAACCGGCGAATAACAACACGTGAGATCGGATTGAGGTTAAATTTATCAAATTCAACAGTTTATGACCACTTGAAAGGCCTGGGATTATCCTCGAAGCTCGATGTATGGGTTCCCCATGTTCTCACAGAGAGAAATCTGTGTCGCCGCATTGACGTCTGCGATTCGCTTCTCAAACGTCACGAAAATGATCCGTTTTTGAAGCGCATCATCACTGGGGACGAAAAATGGGTTGTATACAACAACGTCAAACGCAAGAGGTCATGGAGCAAAAAAGATGAACCGGCTCAAACCATTTCCAAAGCCGATATTCACCAAAAAAAGGTGATGCTGTCTGTTTGGTGGGATTTTAAAGGAATCGTTTTTTTTGAGCTTTTACCGGATAACACAACGATTAATTCGGAAGTCTACTGTCATCAGCTGGACAAACTGAATGATGCACTTCAACAGAAAAGGTCAGAACTAATCAACAGGAAAGGTGTAGTGTTTCACCAAGACAACGCGAGACCTCACACAAGTTTGGTCACTCGCCAAAAGCTTTTACAGCTTGAATGGGATACAATGCTACACCCACCATATTCTCCAGACCTGGCACCATCGGATTATTATTTGTTCCGGTCACTCCAAAATTTTTTAGACGGTAAAACCTTCACCTCAAATGAGGAGGTCAAAAACCTCCTCGATCAGTTTTTTGCCAGCAAAGACCAAAAATTTTATGAGCGTGGAATTATGCTACTACCAGAAAGATGGCAAAAGGTGTTGGACCAGAACGGTCAATATATTATTTAATAAAGTATTTGTTTATTATACGAAAACTGTCTTTCATTTCCACAAGAAAAACGAAATGACTTTCCGAACAACCCTATATATTGTACATTTTTTTTATTTTTCGTTTATGATTAGATCACTAGTGGAGTTACCGTTTCGGAAGGTATTATCAACACCATTAAGGATTTCGCTACCACTCTGAAGGACGCGCTACCAAACGAATCTTTGAAGAGTGTTGTCACCGCAATTACTGACTACATTGAAAAGGTATTATAGATAACAAAGTAATTATTAAAAACGGTAACGTAATTTCAAATGGTTTAGAAATTGAAACGGGAACCAGTTGACGACGTAGCGGCTATAGAAGCCATCGTGAAGACCATTGCAGATGCACTAAAGGCTGTTCTTCAGTCAATACAAACTGATAAGGACTTCAGTTTTCCAACCAAAGCCGTAAGTAACTTCGGGGATTTACAAAAATGTATATACTTGAGTATCGAGTATTATTTATTGATAAATATTTAGATCCCAGTGTCATTTAACTTCATCCACAACTTGCCACGTCTGGTAGCCGTTAAATTCTCTCCATTGAACTATTTATTGAAGAACGATCTTCCCGACATTGTGACTAGTTTCAGAACCGCAATATCCTTTGACTTACGCGACTTCATATTACCTCAACGACGTAAGCATCACTATGCCATTTTTTTGGCTGGCTTTAAAAATTAAAATCTAAATTTTTCTTTTGCAGTATTCGCAATTGTGGCCCAAGGACAACACATCTTCACCTTCGACGGTAAGCACATCACGTTCCCAGGTAAATGCAACTACCTTTTGGCAGGTGACGCTGAGAATGGAAACTTCTCCCTGGTCGGAACGTACACCAATGGTATCCTTACTGCTATCACCTTGTCTGTCAACGACGAGATCGTTACCTTGAAGAAGGGACGTCAAGCCTTATTGAACAATGGTACGTGGAGAAGAAACAAATGATGCTGATGGTAGAAATTTTTGTTTTATTTGCAGCTGCTGCAGATTTGCCCATTAGCACCCCGCACATTAGCGCCTACTCTCTTTACGAATCAGTCCATTTGAAATCCAAAGCTGGTATCTTGGTAGTTTGTGGCCCAGAATTGGTCGTTTGCGGAGTTCACATTTCAGGATTCTACCACGGACAATTGAAAGGACTTCTTGGTAAGACACCAAAAATATTTTGGTCGCATAAATACCTAATTTCAAAAATCTCTCAAAAGGCAACGGAAACAATGAACCCTATGACGATTTTACCCTTCCCAATGGCAAAATTGTGACGAGTCCCAAGGAATTTGGAAACTCATACAAGACCAGCGGCGGTTGTCCAGATGTCAGTGAAGTAGGTCATACAGACGCCGGTCACAAATCACAGCCGTCTTGTGAAAAACTTTTCGACCTTGAGTCACCGCTACGGTAATTCAATGTCAAATCAATTGTATAGAATTGTTTTTTTAACAGTCTCTTTCAGATTCTGTTCTCCATTCGTGGATCCTGCCAACTTCAAGGAAGCTTGCAATCACGGACTTCACGCTGGAGTTCCTGACACCGAAAGGGCCATTGCCGTTGCTTACGCTGCGGCTTGCAACCACAAAAACGTTTGGATAAGGGTTCCCGATGAGTTCCGTAAGTACTCAAGATCATTTTCTTCGGTTTTTAGAGTTCCGAATGAAAAACGGAATCCTTGTAGGATCGCTCGTGTGTTTGTGTGTCAGTTTTTTTATGGTCGATTTATTTTTGTTTTTAGTACAATGTCAAAACTCCGACAAGCCTTACGACGTCTTCACGAAGTTCAGCGTTAAACTTCCGGGCAAAGCAGCCGATATCGTCATAATTGTTGACCAAAACAAGAGTAACGAGGAGATTTACAAGAACATCTTGCAACCCCTGGTACCGCAAGTTGTACAAGAATTGAACTCCAAAGGAATCAAGTAAGTTTCTTGGTTCTTGTACCTTCAAAAAAATAAAGGGACCATTTTCTTCTAGCGATGTTGAGTTCCATCTGATCGGTTTTGGAGGAGTCAGTTCTCAGTGGCCATCGCACTTTACCCATGGCGGAAAATTGACATTCAAGGGAAAATTGCCGAACGTTAAATTCTACGACCAGCCCAAGAAACCCGAGTTCCAGACCGGAAACGAAAAGGTCGATTCGTTCTTGAAGACCGCTAAGAGTTGGTTGCACGATTTATCCTTAGCATCTGGATGCAACGTCGAATTTGTGACGTACAAGGAAGCGATTTCTTATCCTTTCAGAGCGAACGCCGCCAAAGCCATTATCGTGGCACGTGGAACGCCATGCGAACAAGGGCGATTCGTTTTGGTAATAAACGATTTTTAAAAACGAAACAATTTTATTGATTTCCAATTGTTTTATGTTTCAGATACAAAAACTATCCGCTTATCTGTTCAACAGCAAAGAGTTATCACTCAATTTGATTGTTCCTTTCCCCCATTTGAAAGTAAAAGATCCAAAAGAGGCCAAAAACGTGATCGGTTTTAATAGTCGCAACGCGTTTACTTTGAGTGACACGAAAAAGAAACAAGGAACCCCCGACTTGCACAAGCAACTCGATTATGACGATTTCTGTGTCGATTTCACAACTAATGTGAGAGAAAAACTTTTCCTTTTTCTTTATCAACCTTTTAAACGTATTTGTTTTATTTCCAGCACCGCGGTAACGTGTTCGTAGCTAACAACATTCTAGCTGCCAAAGCGGCTGCTAAAAAACAAGCTGTCCAGGTAAGATCCACAACAATTGGCTTACTTCTTTTGTTGTCATTAACCGTTTTGTTTTTGTTTTACCGATACAGATCGCAGCCCACAACATAGTACAGTCGATCACGAGCGTCGAACAGGGTTTGGACTGTGAATGTAAACCTATTTCTCCCTACAGTGCCCTTAACCAATGCCACGTGGTGTACACCAAAGATGTAAGTACAGTTTTAAATTATAAAAATCGATATAATCGATCGATCATCGATCTATTTTTATTTTCGCCGTTTCAGAGGAAATGAGCCAGTCGCGACGATTAGATGAAATTCACGAAGAAAGAAACAATCCTATTAATTAATCACTTTATGAGTACCTAAAGTTAATTTTAAGTGTCTTAGGCTACGAAAGCAAAATTTTGTAAATTTTTCTAGTGTCAGGTATTGTAAAGTAAAATATTATATAAAAAGTGTAGTCCGACTTTTACTTCTACTTACTGTATACACAGGGTGACCATATAAATACCCAAATTAAAAAATAACAAGTACCTATTAATTTGAAAACGCTGTCAAATGAAAAATTGTATTGGCATGTTCTTTAATGTCAAACTGGAATAAAATTTAAGTGCACAACCAAGGGAAGGCGTACAAAAATTATACGCAATTATTCGTAAAAAATGAGTAAGGAGCATTTTTCAAAAGTTTTGGAGAACTTGAATTCATTAAGAAAATCATCTAAATTATGCGATGTCAGTTTCTCCGTTGATGGTGACATAATCGAGGTCCATAAGGCCATATTGGCCGCTAGTAGCCCTTATTTTCATGCAATGTTCACTGCAGGACTCAGGGAGTCCAATCAGCAGGTCATACATATGCAAGGGGTCACTTCAGAATCCATGAAATTGCTGGTAGATTTCGTATACGGCGAAAACATAAAAGTTACTTGCGAAAATGTTAAAAACCTTCTTATGGCCGCAGATATGTTAGAAATACACGAAGTCGTTTACATGTGTTCGAGAAATATTCTAAAGAATTTGGATAATTCGAATGTTCTCGAAATTTATTGGTAAGAGTACAGATTCGTACACATTTTATACGTATCCTCGCAGTTTTGCAGATGATCATAATTTAATATATTTAAAAAATGCGACGTTACTGTACGTTTGTCACAATTTTTCGAAAATACGTGTACAAGAAAATTGGCTTCGCTTAACAAAATATCAAACAATTGAAATTCTTGCGTCTGAAAACTTAGTTTTGGATTCTGAACAGGAGGTTCTCGAAGCGGCCATGAAATGGCTTAGGCAAAACGAAACCGAAGTACAAAAAGACATCTACGACGTTTTAAAACAAGTGCGATTTCTACTTTTTCCTATAGGTAGGTATTTATAATCCTACACACTTCTTCACTCCAGTTTCTCCTTCTAATTTGTCTGTGTCTCTAACTAACCCTTTTGGATTGGAGTTGCCAATCCACAGCTAGCATCAGAAGGGGAAAGATCTCTGAAGAGGTTTGCCACTCTAACTGACGATAACCTTTAAACCCTTTGTGTCTGAGAAACTGTCCTACTAACCTATATTGATCTACATAAAGTCCCCTGTTCTCCTACTCTTTCTAATACTCCCTCACTTCTTTCCACAATATTTTTAGCATCCTCCTACAACACCAGAACCATGCAGAGCCGTACTCCAAGCATACTCTTTTATTTATATATACCTAAGTATAAAATTTGCTATAAATTATTTTTTTAATGTCCCTAAGCGCCATTCCACCCTGTACATGTATAAAACATGTACATTTTTTTGTAGAGGTGGTAGAAAACTATATTGAGAAATGTTTTGAACCAAAATTGCGAAATGCCTTGATAACCATTCACGTTGATCTCACATCGGAAAACAGCAACCTAATTCGTTTACAACAGGGCAAACCACGGTTAAGAAAACAAATTTATGCTCTTTGCGTGGACAATTATAGGCCCCAAAAATTGTTCGGACATGGCCAGCAAGAAGAAAACTACATTTTCAAAAGATTCAACAGTCTTACGGAGTAAGTAAATTTTACAAAATTTGCCCCTAAATAAAAGATCAATTTCTTTACGAACGTAGCCGTTATTGGGTACATTTTTTTAACTAGAGAATGGACCGAAGTGCCAACAAAAGTGAAATGTCCGGTTATTGCCCAAATCGCAACCCTGTACGGCAATATTTACGCTATAGGTTCGGACAGTACCTGTTCCTACTGTTACATGTATAACACAAACGAAAATTTGTGGATTAAAAAGTCGAATTTAATGTTACCTAGATGCGAATTTGGTTTGTGTTCGTTAAAAAACACCCTGTGTGCAATTGGGGGATGGACCAGGGGCGAAATCGACCAAACAATAGAGACTTACGATTTTGTTAACGACACATGGGATATTTACGATAATTTACCAGAACCAAGGTATTGCATGGGCGTTGTAGTCCACGAAGGTATCTACAGTCACAAAAAGGTACCTCTACGGTTTATATAACGCTATTCTATTTTCAGGGGTGATTTATTTAGCAGGGGGTTCCACTAATGAGGCCAGATACACCAGCGATTTTGTTGGTTTTAATTTTAGGGACCGCGTTTGGGTAACTTTGGCCCCTTTGCTACAAATAAAGAGCCAATTAAGTTTAGCAGTACAAAATGACGTTTTGTACGCGATAGGAGGATGTAACGACAGTGGGGATTTAAAAACTGCAGAAAGTTATTCTTTTCAAAACGTATTATTATTATTATTATTGTTATTGTTTGAATTTATAATTGGGATGTGCCTGGTAGTGCCGTCTTTAGAGGAAGGGGACGTAGGGGACTAAGAAAACTGGTACATTATTGAAATACAATTTTTCTAATAAATCATNCCCAAATCGCAACCCTGTACGGCAATATTTACGCTATAGGTTCGGACAGTACCTGTTCCTACTGTTACATGTATAACACAAACGAAAATTTGTGGATTAAAAAGTCGAATTTAATGTTACCTAGATGCGAATTTGGTTTGTGTTCGTTAAAAAACACCCTGTGTGCAATTGGGGGATGGACCAGGGGCGAAATCGACCAAACAATAGAGACTTACGATTTTGTTAACGACACATGGGATATTTACGATAATTTACCAGAACCAAGGTATTGCATGGGCGTTGTAGTCCACGAAGGTATCTACAGTCACAAAAAGGTACCTCTACGGTTTATATAACGCTATTCTATTTTCAGGGGTGATTTATTTAGCAGGGGGTTCCACTAATGAGGCCAGATACACCAGCGATTTTGTTGGTTTTAATTTTAGGGACCGCGTTTGGGTAACTTTGGCCCCTTTGCTACAAATAAAGAGCCAATTAAGTTTAGCAGTAGAAAATGACGTTTTGTACGCGATAGGAGGATGTAACGACAGTGGGGATTTAAAAACTGCAGAAAGTTATTCTTTTCAAAACGTATTATTATTATTATTATTGTTATTGTTTGAATTTATAATTGGGATGTGCCTCGTAGTGCCGTCTTTAGAGGAAGGGGACGTAGGGGACTAAGAAAACTGGTACATTATTGAAATACAATTTTTCTAATAAATCATCTTCAGTAGAAGGCAAACAGTTGTAACACCTGGTAAATGTCTAGATGATGGCCCCTTTGGGGTGGGGGTAGGTGGGATCGAAAGAGGAGGTCTCCCCTACCACTGTACCATAAAAAGTTCGTGGGGGTAGATGATGGCCCCCCACTCCCGAGGGGGTGGGGGTAGGGGGGATTCGAAAGAGGATGATCACCTGAGTAAAACTCCATAAAAAATTTGCGGCGGTCTCACCCCCATAAAGAAATATGGGGGTTCAAAGTTGATTATTTTGACAATTTTCATACACTATAATTCAAATAAAATTCAATAAAAAAATTATTTTCAAGCGGGTGGAGGTGGGGGATCGAAAGAGGGTGGTCACTTGAACAAAACCCGATAACCTAACCTAACCTAACCTACCCTATTGATAAAGATATTTAAATAATGTTTTATATAACTTTCTCAATATTTTTATGTATTTTTCATTAGTTTTACCTTTGAATATTGTTTAAGAATGACTATATAAATATTTACATGCCTAGAAATGTATAAAAATTGGCATATTTATTAACTTTGAACCCCCATAACTTTCTATGGGGGTGAGACCGCCACGAACTTTTTATGATACAGTGGTGGGGGAGACCTCCTCTTTCGATCGCCCCCATCCACACCCCCCAAGGGGGTGGGGGCCATCATCTAGACCTTTACCAACACCCCTTAAGACTTAAATTTTGAAGACAGTCTCCCTCCACCTATCCTCAAAATTTAGACCTCAGTCTCCCTTCATTTAAAGCCGATACTCAATGACTTGTTCAAGTCCATAATACGAAATTTCATTTTTTAGCCTCCCCTTTCTCCTTCCTCACGCTAAGTCACACTTTCAGCAACCCCCCTATCAAATATTACGTAACAAAAACTACGCCACACCACCCCTACATACGATTTTTTGCGATTAAAAATAGCAGTGAAAAAAACTTTCTATCATAATAGAAATTTTAAGAAGCTCCAAGTTAAGAAAAACATAATGAACGACAAACGCCACATTTCCTTACACCTCCCTACCCTCTTGTCATTTCTCGTCACACTAAACAATATCCTTCCCCCCTTTACTTGAGAACGCATTTTATGAACGACCCCGTACATAAATAATCAAATAAAAATTTGTTTAAATGCAAAGATAATAAAATTGTAGAAACAATGGACAAAATTACCATTAATGAAAATACCAAGAAATAGAGCTATAGCTGTTTCAATTGATGGATTAGTTTATGTGATTGGAGGTGAAAAAGACAGTTGCACCAATTTATATCGAGCACAATGCAACGTTTCGTCTGTAGAATGTTTCAATCCTCTGACCAATATGTGGTACGAACGTGCTTCTTTATTTGACTGTAAAGCTGCCACTGTTGTATAAAATAAAGTGGTTTCTATCAAAATTCCCATTTACTCCAATTATTTATAATAATAAAAAAAAATAAAAGCGAATAAAATGTTAAGGTTAGATTCGAACTCTCCTATTGCACGATTACTATATGCAGGTATGCGGGGGTCCTAACAATCTGAACCAATTACAAAATGCTATACTAATTCCGGTTAGCATTATTGGGGAGATTGCTATCTTCTCATCATTATTACACATTTTATAAACAATAAGTTATGTAAAATTTTGTCAACGACAATCTTTTGAGTGCCGGCTGTACTCAATCTACCCCTACACACACCAAAACTCGTCTACACTCGACCCCATTAACTGTATGCAAGTACATTAACCTCTTTCCCAGTTGTTTACTTTTACTTAACTAAAGTCTTATCAGTTGCGCCACGTGCTGCGCTATATTATAGATTTGTTAACATTTAATTTTGAAAAAGTGTAGTTTCCCCTACAGTAACAAGAAGATGATTGCAAATATCGAAAGTATTATACAAAAGAAAACACAAACAATTCAAAAGAGACCCCAGGAAAACCCCACGGGCCTGAAGCACGAATGCGCCGTGTTCGGGGTTATAGCAACAAGTGTTTGGCCTTCCAAATTGGAAATTGCACAAATAATATGCATGGGATTGGAAGCCCTACAGCATAGGTGCATATCAAGCCCTCTTTTAATTAACGATCGTCGACCATTTTTATTTTATTTTTATTAGAGGGCAAGAATCAACAGGTATTGCAGTAAGTGATGGGGAAGAATTTAAAGTGCACAAGGGCATGGGCTTAGTCAAACATGTGTATAACAATGACAGTATTAGCAAATTGCAGGGCAATTTGGGAATAGGACATACACGGTACTCTACCAAAGCCAAATCAGAAGTAATAAATTGCCAACCGTTCGTAGTACATTCCATACATGGCGCTCTGGCCGTTGCACACAATGGGGAGTTGGTAAACTGCTCGAGTTTGAGAAAGAAGGTTGTTATCAGATTTTAGAATTGAACATTCGTAGTCTAAATGAAAAACTGTAGGTCTTGGAAAGGGGCATAGGGCTTTCCACCCATTCTGACAGCGAGTTAATCACACAGGCTCTATGTCTCAACCCCCCAGAAGGCGAAATAAATGGACCAGATTGGCCTGCTCGCATTAAACATCTGATGCTCTTAGCTCCTCTGAGTTACTCATTGGTTATTATGCTCAAAGATCGTATATATGCTGTTCGAGATCCATATGGAAATAGACCATTATGCTTAGGAAAAATCACTCCTCTGAATAGTCGTGAGCATTTCTATATTTGTTTTCTTATATTAGTTTATATTACAATCGAGTTTCAGCCGAAAAAGAGTTAAACGAAGACCAATGTGATGGGTGGGTTGTGGCATCTGAGTCTTGCGCGTTCCTTTCGTTTACTCGGTATGTAAGGGAAGTTCATCCTGGAGAGATAGTGGAAATGACCAAGGACGGGATCAGGACGGTGGATATCATAAAACGACCGGAAGGGAACGCACAAGCGTTTTGCATTTTCGAATATGTCTATTTTGCTAGGCCAAACAGTCTCTTCGAAGGGCAGGAAGTGTACACTGTGAGAACCAATTGTGGTAGGCAGCTGGCACTTGAGCACCCTGTAGAAGCTGACATAGTCGGGTCTGTTCCTGAGTCTGGAAATGCCGCAGCTTTCGGATATGCCACCCAAGTATTTTTTTTTACCTTGTATGCTAATATACAATTTACTTGTTTTGGTTTTCTAGGCGGGAATCCCCTTCGGGGAATTACTGACAAAAAACAATTACGTCGGAAGGACGTTCATACAACCCAGTAACAGACTGAGGCAGCTGAATGTCACTTTAAAATTCAGTAAGATAGATAGATATCTTTTATTTTAAAAGCCCTTTTTGTAAAGCATCGTAATTGTCAGGTCCAATACTAACGAATGTGGAGGGTAAACGTGTGGTTCTTGTGGATGATTCAATAGTCCGGGGAAATACCATTCTTCAGCTCGTTCATATGCTCCGAAAGGCGGGGGCTAAAGAGGTTCACATTAGGGTAGCTAGTCCACCACTAAAGTTCCCCTGTTACATGGGCATAAACATTCCCACAAAAGAAGAACTGATCGCAAATCAGTTGGATAATCTCGATTTAACAGCGAAAATCGGTAGATCAATCATTATCAATCCAGTTTTAATAAAAATTGTTTATCCTAATTCTTTTGCAGGTGCGAATAGTTTAGCATATTTGAGTGTCGACGGTCTAGTAACAGCAGTACAACGCGATCTAAAGAATCGTAATATAGAATATGGCCACTGCGTTGCATGCTTGACGGGGAAATACCCCGTAGATATTAACTCTAGTACCCAGTGGTGAAGAAAAACAACAAATAAAATACTTTCATTCAAAAGAGTACTTAATGGAGACTGTTGTTTTATAATAATATATGTCATAAACATGCCTATGTAATTGTTTTTTACAAATAAATGTCTAGAATCGCCATCTTACTTTCGTTACAGTTTAGATCAGATGTCCAATATGGCGGCACATATGCTATTCAAATCCCAAGTAGCTGAAACTGTACAATGGTAGATCAATTGTTATCCAATCAATACTCAGATTTTCCTGTCACAATAAACAAATCACAAGTCGGAGTTGATGTGTCACCTATTACAGGCTCACGTATATTGTTAACGGTTAATGTTTTGTTGAAAACTAAATATTTCTTATGCCTCGTTTGTATTATTCGCCCCGTAAAACGAAAATGGATGATGTGGAGGACCCAGCAGGCGACGTTACTGTTGTGGACGTGTATGACATTGCCTCTGATATCGGTAAAGAATGTGAGAAGATTATTGATACATTTGGAGCAGATGCTGTGACATCACTCATGCCCAAAGTAATAAACGCCCTGGAGCTCCTGGAAAACTTGGCGATAAAAAATGAACGCGAAAATACTTTAATTCTCGATATGAAATCGAAAATAACACAACTAGAGAATGATAAGATTGAAAAGGCAGAATACAGACAAAAATTTGAAAGGGTAAGCACTAAGGGAATTTAAATTGTAAGGTCAATTCATGACTTTTGGTTGAATTGACTTTTTATTTAAAGGAACTGGAGACTATAGAGGATCAATGGAGGACAGAATCTAAAGATTTGGTGATGCTGGTGTCCAAATTACAAGAGGAAAACAGAAAACTCAAGTCCCAAGACAACAGTCAATTCAATGACATCAATACTATTGAACAGACCATGGCCAGTGATATGCTGGGAAAGCTACAGGCTTCCATAGACAAGCAAAGAGAGGAGATCAGGCAAAAGGAGAGACAGTTAGAAGAAAAGAATGCGGAAGTGGAAAATGTCAGTATTAAATAATAACCCCTTTGCCTATGTGTAACCACAAATATTTCTTGTTACAGTTCAAAACACAAATTGAAAAAATCACCACATCCACTAGAGACCTAAGAAGAAGGCACAAGACTCTACAAAATCAAGTGAGAACCCTCTGTGATGAGAGGGCTGATTTTTTAGTTCAGTTACAAGACCAACAAAGAGATATTACAGCTTTAAGGCAACGTTTGGGCATTGCTGTTAAAGAGAATGAAGATTTAGCAAAGGTAAATCACCAGTATTTGAAGAAACCCCAAACTTATAACCATTTTTCAGTGTGACATTACATATCCCAGTAATAAGGCAGTCTTTGATTTGGATGATCCCAACAGGCCCCGGTTCACTACTCAAGAGTTGAAAGACATATTACACGAAAGGAATGAACTAAAGGCTAGAGTTAGTGATCTGGAAGAAGAATTGGATACATATAGGCCTAAGCCAAAAGTAGAAACGTAAGAAAAGCATCTTTAGGTTGATATGCACAATCTTTTTTATTTTTATTATTATTTAGTTTTTATTATTTAAATGTTTTGGTTTTTTTATTTATACAGAAAAAAACATGTACCAATTAATAAGGGTGTTGAAGTTGTGCCCGAAATTGTCATTAATAATGCAGAGGAGTAAGTTTATTTAATTACCTGT